CGCACCCATAAAGGAACCGCGCATCCATAAAGGAACCACCCATAAAAGAACCGCGCACCCATAAAAGAACGGCGCACCCATAAAGGAACCGCGCACCCATAAAGGAACCACTTACCCATAAAGGAACCGCGGACGCATAAAGGAACCGCGGACGCATAAAGGAACCGCGGACCCATAAAGGAACCGCGGACCCATAAAAGAACCACTTACCCGTGAAAGAACCGCGCACCCGTAAAGGAACCGCGCACCCGTAAAGGAACCACGTGAACCGCGCACCGATAAAGGAACCGCGCACCCATAAAGGAACCGCGCACCCGTAAAGGAACCGCGCACCCATTAGCAGTTGCTCTTATTTCCCCCATCCTTCTCCTCTGCCCTAGGCAACCTCTAGCCTGCTTTCTGTTTCTGTAGATTTGCCTATTTTGTATATTTCATATAAATGGAATCATATAATTTATGGTCTTTAATGACTGGCTTAACTGGAGCACTGGTGGCACAGTGGTTAAGAACTACTGCGAGCTGTGGCTGCTAACCAAAAGGTCGGCAGTTCGAATCCACCAGCTGCTCCTTGGAAGCCCTATGGGGCAGTTCTACTCCATCCTATAGGGTCACTATGAGTTGGAATCAACTCAGCGGCGATGGTGGTTTTTTAAATGACTAGCTTCTTTCATCTAGCATAATATTTTGACATCCATCTTGTAGCATGTGTCAGTTCTAATATGAGTAACCCGATCTATGGTGTACAGTTTTCGTGAGCGTCTTCCAGGGAGCGCCCTGAAGTCATAGCCAGTGTCACCTTCTGGAACAGTTTTTTTGTTTTTAATTGAAACTTTTATTGAGATCATTGTAGATTCACATTCAGTGGTAGGAGATAATACACCAGGACCCACTTTTAATGTTATTTTTGTCTCCCCACAATCACTAGATTTTAAACTTCTTGAGAACAGGGATTATTTTCCAAAGTGGCTGCACCATTTTACATTCCCATCAGCAATGTATGAGGGTTACAGTTTTTCTGCATCCTCGCCTACATTTGCTATTGTCTGTCTTTTTTATTTTAGCCATCCTGTTGTTGTTAGGTGCTGTCATATTGGCTCTGACTCCTAGTGACCTTACGTAGAACAGAAGAGAACATTGCCCAGTCCTGCACTGTCCTCACGAGCCCATTGTTGCAGCCACATTTATTTACGGGATGAGGTGGGATCCAACTTCATCCGTCTCATTGAGGGTCTCTTTCTGTTTCACTCACCCTTCACTTTACCAAGCATGATTTCCTTCTCCAGCAGTTGGTCCCTCCTGATGACATGTCCAATTGGAATACAAAAGCTGGCTATCCTAGTGGGTAGGAAGCGGTATCTCATTGTGGTTTTGATTCACATTTTCCTAATGACTAATGATGTTAAGCATTTTTTCATGTGCTTATTGGCCATTCTTTGGAGAATTGTCTATTCAAATCTTTTTCATTTTTCAATTGGGTTATTTGCCTTTTTATTAATGAGGTTTTTTGTTATTGTTGTTTACATAGTCTAGATTCAAGTCCCTTATTAGATAGATGATTTGCAAAAATTTTCTTTCGTTTTATGAGTTGTCTCTTCATTTTCTTGATGGTGTCCTTTGAAGCACAAAAGTTTTTTATTTTGATGAAGTCCAATTAATCTGTTCTTTCTTTTGTTGGTTGTGTTTTTGGTGTAATATCTAAGAAAACATTGCATAGACGCAGGGTCATGAAGAGTTAACTCCTGTGTTTTGATCGAAGAGCGTTATAGCTTTAGCTCCTTCGTTTGGGTCTATGTCCATTTTAAGTTAATTTTTGTTTATGGGATGAGGTAGGGGTCCAACTTCATTCTTTTACATGTGACTATCCAGTTATCCCAGCACCATTTGCTGAAAAGACTATTCTTTCTCCTCTGAATTTTCTTGGCACCATTGTTGGAAATCAGTTGACCATAAATGTATAGGTTGATTTCTGGACTCCATTTCATTGACCTATATGTCTATCCGTATGTCAGTACCACACTGTCTTGGTTTTTGTAGCTTTGAAACCCATTGCCATCAAGTCGATTCCAACTCATAATGACCCTGTAGGATAGAGTAGTCCTGCCGCATAGGGTTTCCAAGGCTGTAATCTTTAACAACAACAACCGCCACATCTTTCTCCCGCTGAGCGGCTGGTGAGTTCAGACCGCTGACCTTTTAGTTAGCTGCTGAGCACTTAACCACTGAGCCACCAGGGCTCCTGTAGCTTTGTAGTTATTTTGAAATCAGAAAGTGTGAGTCCTCCAACTTTGATCTTCTTTTTCAAGATTATTTTGACTATTTTGGGTCCTTTGTATTTCCATATGAATTTTAGAATCATCTTTCAATTTCTACAAAACAAGCTAGCATTTCAGTAAGAATTGTATTGAATCTGTAGATCAATTTGGGGGGTATTGATATCTTAATAAGGAGCCCTGGTGGCACAGTGGTTAAAGCACTTGGCTGCTAACCAAAAGGTTGGCTCTTCAAACCCACCAGCTGCTTTGCAGGAAAAAGATGTGGCAGTCTGCTTCTATAAAGATTAACAGCCTTGGAAGCCCTATAGGGTAGTTCTACTCTGTCCTGTAGTTCTACTCAGAATCAACTCAACGGCAGTGGGTTTGGTTTGGTTTTGGTAAGATAAAAAGTTGTGGCTCAAGTAAGGCGGTGACTTGACTAAGGGTATGGCTTGGGTAAGGCAGTGCAATTCAAGGTACAGCCCACCCTAATCCCACCTCATAGAGGTTTTGGGATTTACAACACATAAAATGGAGAATAGTTACATAATATCACAAAATGGAGGATGGTTACATCAGATCACAAAATGGAGGACAATTACACAATACTGGGAATCATGGCTTAGCCAAGTTGACACATATTTTGGGGGGACACAATTCAATCCATGACATATATATTACATCTATATATGTTATTGACCTAGTAATACCCTGGTTCTGCCAGTTTCTGCTTGTTTTTTTTTTGTTCCTCCAGAGAGGACAGAAGCGTGAAGCTGCTTACACCACCATCTTGCCGGTGCCTCTCGCCTGTGATTTTATGTTTAAACCTGGCCTTCTCGGAGTTGCCCCTGGGTTAGAGTGACTTGTTCAGCTAGTGTTTGGTCCGAGGTTGTTCTTAAGCCCTTGTGCCAGTGATATTTCCACGCTTTGTTAATGGATCAGTGTGTGACCTGGGGAATGCTTTCAGGTCTGTCCCCCACCCCTATCCTGCTTTGACTCCTCCTGAGTGGGTGCAGCCTAGTGCGTGCACACAGCCTTCCCAGCCTCCAGGGTTGGCTGTGATCCCAGGAGGGCTCTTCACGGCTTTCTGTTTCTCTGGTTCTCTTTGTTAGACTTCCAGCTGCTGTACCATTTGACTTGTTGCTACCAGTATCATGACGCTACCAGCACCCTCTGAATTGTTCTCCACCAAGATCTCCATGTTTTTAACAACACTTGTAGGCATAGAATTCTCCACACTATTTTCCCAGTAAGGTCAACCCCCTCAGGCAGAGCTGTGGAAGCCTTCATCGTTCAGGCCTGCTGCCCCTCCTGGGAAGAACCTGGTGTACAGGAGCTGGGGCAGATGCAGTGGCCCACTTCTCCCAGACTGACACCTCTGCCCTTTGAGTGGGTACTGGGAGGAAGAGACGGAGCCCTGGTCTTCTTAGCTTGCCCCTTCCAGTGTGGGAAGGGAGCCTCTAAAAGCCAGCTGCAGTGGGGACAGTCAGGTCCCCAATATTCTTGGCCCGCCCTGCCTGGGTAGAACTCATGCCCTACCAGTAGGGGAAGGGAGCCTCAGTCCTCTCCGCTGTGCCCGCCCAGAAGAGAACTTCTGGAATACGGGGTAGAAAACATGGAGGAGACACTAGTACCCTGAAGAAAAGTCCAGAAATACAGGAGTGATTAAGAGTATTGCAGAGAGGTCATAGAACATGAGAAGAGCAATAAAGTCCATAAACTCTAGCAGCATGGAAGTCCTTGGTGACACTTTTTGAATCTGCTTTAGTGTGAGATATGGTTGGAATCAAAACCAGAATATAAAGGGCTAAGGAGTAAATGAATTGAGGAACAAATGGAGACTAATCTGTTTAAAAATTTAACCATTCAAGTTTCCAAATAACTAATTTACTTTTTCACTTCGTTGTCCTCTTTCTCTTCACAATGTCCTATTTCTTTCCCCCATAGGTGAGACCTGGAACCCCTTCAAACTGCAGTACCAGCTGAGGAATGTACGAGAGCGAATCGCAAAGAACCTAGTAGAGAAGGGCATTCTAACCACTGAGAAGCAGAATTTCCTTTTATTTGACATGACCACTCACCCAGTGACCAACACAACAGAGAAGCAGCGACTAGTGAAAAAACTGCAGGCCAGCGTCCTAGAGCGGTGGGTGAATGACCCCCAGCGAATGGACAGGCGGACGCTGGCACTCCTGGTGCTGGCCCACTCCTCCGACGTGCTGGAGAACGTCTTCTCCTCTCTGACAGATGACAAGTATGACATGGCCATGAATCGAGCCAAGGACCTGGTGGAACTGGACCCTGAAGTAGAGGGGACGAAGCACAGTGCCACAGAGATGATCTGGGCTGTGCTGGCAGCCTTCAATAAATCCTAAAGCCAGCCAGTAGGTTTCTCCTTTTCCCCTGCTGGCTGGTGCCTGTCAGAGACCGCATCACTGAGTTCTGTGTGATGAGATGTTTTCACATCACATGTTTTCCTTCTCTTAAATCAGACTTCGTGGTTTGAGGCAGTGGCAACATCAGGGTTTCTCCGTAGACTGTGACGATTCTAAGTAGACTTTATTTCACCCTATACTTCCACTCCAGAGGGAAAGAGACGGGTGAACACACACCCAGTAAACATCTTCTCCCATTTCTGGGCATAGTTGCGTCCAGTATGCTTTTGGACAAGCAGGAATACCTAATGGGGTTTAGACTTCTCAGCTACAGAATGAATGAGATGAACAGCAAAGCAGTTATTACATTTTGTAAGTTTTTTGTTTTCTGTCTTAAATACATGGTGGTTTCAAAGCCTTTGTCTCTAAGACTTTGCGAAGTAATGTACTTTATTAAAATAATCATCTCTTTAAATAAGGGACAGTGGAAACAAAACTAATTTTTGGAGCAGATGGTCTCTGGAATTGTGTGTCCTGCAGGTGATTTTCTCATCTTCCCTTTTCTAATCCAATGAGAATGTCCCAAATTTGATTACCTGATTCTCACATCTTAGAACCAAAAAATAGATTCTGTGCTCCCTCTTAACATCATCCTGTTCCCTCACTCAGCAGGACAAAAGTCTAATGGAAAAAAAAAAATGGTCTCTCTCAGCCACCTCTTTCACGCAGTCAGCATTAGAATTTGTAAGGGAGGGAGGTCGCAGGAGAACGTCCACCCTTCAGCATGTGACCGTCCTGTTCCCCAGACTACATTCCATGTCTCTGCGCTGACTGAACTGAGGGGGCTGTAAACCTCAGTTGGCGAATAGCAGCACCCTGAGTCCAGACAGTGTATCTGAACTCAGGGCTATTGTTGCCTGCTTTTAGGTCTCCCACACAAGCTGAGAAATTCTGTCTATATTTAAGGGTTCTGGGAGTAGTTTTGTGTATACTTAATCCACAGAAGAGTCATCAGTCCTGGTTTAACATAACCCTCTTTCTGGCCAAATCTCTAAAACGTTTTCACTTCAGTAGTGAGGGCAGAGAAAAGCTTTATTAAGAAAGATCCCATTTAGAGGGGCAACTTGGTGTCAGAAGCAGCCTAATGGAATTTGCCAGTATAACTTCATTTCCTCCCCCAGCCCTACCCACCCTCACAAAAATGCCCCAGCGCAATTAACCTTTTTTTGTTTTTCACTTCAGGTATCTTAGCTGACTAGAGGTACAAGTTGTACGTGTGAGGCTGAGGAGAGCTCCAGTGGAAAAGTACAAAAACCAGGCCATGAGTCGCCTCTCCCTGACTTAGCTTTTCTTTCCGTTTCAACAATTCAGCATGAATTGAAACCAGGTTTTCCTGTGGAAAGTTTCAGCCTGATTGGGGGATAATAGTTGAGTTGAGTTCTTTCTTGCAACTCTTAGTCAGCTTTTATATCGTATCTCGAGATTAGGTTGTCTTCAGTCTGAATCCGCATAATGTTGACTGCCAAACGTCCTCTCGTTTAATGCGTACGGCCCTCACACCTCTGTACAATAAAGATCAATTCTTGGCTCTCTGGTCTCTCCATGCAGTTTTACAACTTGAGTTATTTTACTTGGAAATAACAACTTTCTGCCTAAGGCCAGGAATGCCTCCCCCTTACACTAGCATACTAGCCTCTGTTTCATCCTGTGTGGAAAAAGATTAAGGGCCCACAGATTTTATAATTGTGAGATGTATAGGCTGGGGGCCAGGGCACATCGAGGTTAGGCTGAATACCAGCTGATGTGAAGACTGAATTCTGTCTCCATCTCAGTTAAAGTAACAGCTACCCCGTTTTACCATTGTTCCCACGAGGGGAATGACTATGATCTCTCCTATTAATACCTACTCGCAAGTGACACCTGAATGTATCTAAGACCTAAAAGTCTTAAGCTCTAAATTTCAGTACCATACCTAACCGTAACACAATTAACAAAACGTAAACACATAATTGTACTGATAAACTTTGTAAGTGTTTATTGTCCTTCCCTTCTTCAGAATGTCTGTAGCACAAGGGACAATAAGAAATGTATTTACTAGGGCTGTTGATACTTCTCGGTTCTCTTTATTTAAGACCAAGTACTGTTCCCGTAAGTCCTCCTTTACTGTGATGCGAAGACCACCCGTACCAAAGTCACCTGGGGGCGGGGGAGGAAAAGGAAGGGTACCTTGCTAAAAAGGAAGGGTTACTAGTAAATCGGCGTCGGGTTAGGGGCTTAGGAAGCTGAGATTTAAACAAATTCTCTTAAAGCCCGCACGTTAAACTTCGAGAGCACTGCTATAGTTGTTGATTATCACAACAGCACATTCCATCGGCTATACCTTCAAGACAGATTCCACATCCAGCCACTTTCGCCTTCTCAGTGGCCGCTACGCTCTAGGCCAAGCCACTACCATGTCTTACTTGAACTGTTGTAAACGACTAATTGGTTTCCTGCTACTTCTTCCTCTCTCGGCCCCCACATAGCAGCCAGAGTGATCAGTTTAATACCTAAATCATCTTGTGTCACTCCCCTGCTCAACACCATCTACGGACTGCCCATCACACAAAAAATAAAATCCAAAGCCCTTACCATGGTTGAAAAAGCCAAAAGCGATCTGATCCTTGCCTACATCTCTCTTACTCTGGTTCTGGTTTGCGATTTCTCGAATAACATCAAAATCGTGCTACTGCTTCAGGAGCTCTGCATCTGCTGCCTGGACCAGTTTCCCTCTAGATGACTGCTTGGCTCCCTCCCTACCTCATTCAGACCCCCTCACTCAACTAGCTCAGAGCAGTGTTCCCTAATCCCCCTACCTAAAACACCATCTCCTCCTACCCGGTCACAATTAGACTAAAACGGAGTACATCTCTGCCTTTTAGAATATACGTACAGAAAAGTGCACATATCATAAGCATACAGCTCAATTGTCACAAACTGAACACACACGTAGCCAGCATCAAGATGAAGAAACAGAACTTTCCCAGCACCTGAGAACTCCCCGTGCTCCCTTCTAGTCACTACCCTGCAAGGATAACTGCCCGCCTGACTTCTGACAGCACTGATGGATTTGAACAGGATTTTTGGAGATAACTAGGGAGAGCTTAGATGGAGAAACATTTGAGGAATAGCAAATCTTAGAAGTCTGAAACGAAAAGGAAAAGCAGTTGGAAAGGAGAGGTCTATCCAATCCAAAAGGAAGAAACAAAGCGAAGAAGGGGGAGGAGAGGAAATAGAAGCTTAAAGGGAGATGTGTTATCTGGGTGGCTGCCCAAGAAACCCAACTATGACACTCTTCCCCAGCGTGCCTTCTCTCTTCCCCTTGCCCCTCCAGCCTCCTACATCCTCTGTTTGCCCTCTCCCCTGCAAAACTCACCCACCTCAGAATTACTTGTAAGTGGAGTAGTCGGTCACTTATTTGACATGATTTTAAGGGTGGAAAGTCCTCTGCTCCAAGTCTACCTCACAAGTCCATAGATGGCACATTTAATTTAATTAGTGATCTATTCTTTTGGGTTAATAATTGCCCCTTTTGCTTGAATACTTTTAAAATACAAATACTGCAGAAAGGAGTGAGCTGCTTTCACAGTACCTGACACATACTAGATGCTAAGGAAATTTTCTTGCTCTTTCTCCAATTTTCCCCAGGGCCTTCCCTGGGCCAGTATTTCACAGTGTGACTTAAGGCTGATCTGAATACTTAATCCAAGTTTAAAATGTCAGCTGATAATGTTGATCTGGTATCTTCTGGGTAACATACTTACATTTTAACCAGAAACTGAAATGCTATGGAGGCAGAAATAAGATATTTATGGGAAGAGAGGCTTTTCTGTTGTCAGGAAAAATTGTAACAGACTTTAAAATGGTCATAAAGATTACCAGACTTCAGAAGAGCCTTTGGCGTTGTCTGCTCTGCCTTTCATTGTCTTTGAACTATTTCACAACTTTTTAAGTTGAGAAAACTTATGGCAATACAAATGATCCTTGTACCAAAACCAACCCGCTGCCATCCAGTCGATTCCGACTCATAGCGACCCCATAGGGTTTCCAAGGCTGTAAATCCCTGTGGAAGCCGACTGCCACATCTTTCTTCCACGGAGCTGCTGGTGGCTTCGACCACCGATCTTTTCGGTTAGCAGTCGATCGCTTTAACCGCTGTGCCACCGGGGCTCCTTGATTCTTGTACAGAGATGCAAATTAATTTTGTCCAGTGAGATACAATTAATTTCTACCCCGTGGAAGACAGAATTCTAAGCATTGCATTTTACAAGCTTTGTAGATATTGACCAGTTTTGCATTTATTAGCAAATTCTTTTCGGCATTCCTAATTGCCTATTTTATGTCTCTCTTTAGATTCTGGTTCCTTCATTAATGAGATGAATTTCGATCTGTGTTAATTTTATATTTATGAGTTATGATATTACCTTCTTAAAAATTATCTTGAACACTACCCTATTCTGATCACTTCGGTCCTTTCCTTAGACTACACTTTACACCAGTCCTGAGAGTGTAAATTTATAAAGGAGCAACTACAGGACAGGACTTGCTTCATTCCCGGAATTCTCAGTCTGGCCCATCAGAGGGTGCTAATGGCATGTCTCAAACCCAGCTATTTCTGCAGCCGCAACTTCTTTTTTAATGGTCATTCTTCTATAAAACGTTGCGTGAGCACTAATGAATTTTACAGTGTTATTCCCAGACTTTTCGTCTCATACCCTGGAAGGATTTAGGTTTACAGCCTCTGGCTCTTGAGTCTAACGCGCAGCAAACCCACTCCGCGCGGGGCGGTGGAGCCTGAGGAAATCTGCGCCCACCCCAGAAGCAAAAATGCCAAAGCGAGCAGCCCCGCCTCCTAACATTCCCCCTAGGCTTCCAATTGGTCCTTGTCGCTCACTCTCTCTCCAGATTGGTGTTCCAGCTAGACCCCACCTTTGGCCAGCGACTACTGGTTGAGGGTTACGTCACTGTCCTAGCCACCTCACTCCCATTGGCTTCCACAGGAAGGGATGGTCGCAACGTCACTGGCAAGGGCCGCCATTTTGACTGAGCAACCCCAGTGACAGGAGCCGAAGCAGCAGCGCAGGTTGTCCCCGTTTCCCCTCCCCCTTCCCTTCTCCGGTGGACTTCCCGGGCCCCCTACACTCCACAGTCCCGGTCCCGCCATGTCCCAGAAACAGGAAGAGGAGAACCCTTCGGAGGAGACCGGCGAGGAGAAGCAGGTGAAATGGAGGGGGTGCGGGCTGGGGAGCCGGGGGCGACCGTGGGCGGGAGACGGTCTCCCACCAGTGCGGATTGGTCGTCGTGGTCTCTGGGTCTGCAGGGGTTGGTCACTTCTTGCGTCACGCAGGGTGAGCCTCTACACGGCCCGCTGCTTGGGCGCTGGTTAGTTGAGTTGATTGTCAGTCAGCCCCGTACCGTTCCTGATTGGCCAAGGGGCCTACCGCTCAAAGCATTGACGCTGTGCTGTAATTGGCCGAGCTTGGGCGCGGGGCGGGTATTTCGGTAAACTGAATGAAGGGGCTGAGATGCAGGGGGCTGGTGGGCCTGGGGTGCGATGTGTGTTTTTGGTTAGTGGGGGGTCTAAATGACGCGACAGCCCGACTGGGGCCCGCATCCTCCGTCCGCAGAAAGATGTAGGTCAGATAAAGCCGTTTAAAAAGGACCAGCACTGGGGGAGGCGAGAAGAGTAATTATCCTGGCTAGTTTAAGGTGGCAACTTTCCCAGGAGACCTATTTTGGCGGTTGGAAATGGTCGGTTGTCCACCTTCAGTACGGACCGAACAAGAGTAACGGTGGTTAAACCTAGAAGATTCTGAAAAAGTGGTAAGAAAGGCACCACCCTATTCTCCCAGACTTCCAAGACAGTGTGACTTAGTCCACCCACGATTTTGCGATGAAAACATCAGCGCCAAAGAAACCCCTTCTAGGAGCTTGTATTTGACTTCTAGCATTTAGTACTGGGTTGAGGGACTAATGAAATACACCTAGTGTTATATCTGTGCCTGATTTTCAAGGGAGGAGAATGTAACTGTACTAAAAAGGGCCACAGATTGGCTTCGGGTTCATTTTTAAAAGTCACTAAAGGAAAAGGTAACGGGGCCCACAGAAAGCAACAGTGAGCTCCCCATAACAACAGAGAGAGCCCTGCAGGCCAATTCAGC